CCCCGTCCACGACGGCCTTGTCCACGATCGCTCTGACTAGGTTGTTCCTGTTCATGCTGAACTTGTTCACGCTGAACTTGTACATGCTGACCTTGTCCATAATACCCTTGTGCATGCTGGACTTGTACATATTGCCCTTGTGCATGCTGACCTTGAATATTATGCCATTGTCCATGCCATTGAGCCTGTCCACTTGTTCCAGCAACTAAATTTGTTAAAAAATCAACAAAATAATTTCGTTTTACATCTACATATTTCATAGGAAACATTTAGAAGAAAGTGTTACGGGAATGAAGTTCTACATATTAAGCCAATTACCTAAATTTCGAGTCGGTTGATTTCCATTATAGAGTATTTGTACATAACCGTGTAATGTCCGCATATCTTCTATAAGCTCGTTTGTCAGGTTTTCGTATATTTGACGATACTTATCTGTTTCATTTATCACTTTATTTGCTTCTTCTTGTTTTTCTTGTGTAAAGTCAGGATTGTTCTGACAAATGAGAAATTAATAGTATATGTGTATTTGAGCAAAATTATTATTTATTTATTTTCCCTTTCGGTTTTTTCAAGTCTCGATTTTGCAAAACGATCTCCATTTTTAAGTTCATTGCCAGAAAAATTAATTTTAATCAAAATAATATTTTTAACTGATTTTGATATAGATACGTTTTCCATTCATTTATTTGTTTATTAGCTGCATAGGTATTACCCAATAACTCAATATATGCATAAACCAAATTATTATATTGTTTTCTAACATTAGTAATTGCTTCGTTGCGGTCAGGGTCGTCTTTAATTTTAAAATAATTTGTTACTTTAAAAATTAGATATTACTTAACAAGCGTGGTACTATTCCCTGGAGAATCTGGTTGTCGCCAACTCTTTCAAGCAAAGGAAAAATCTGTCCTTTTAATTGAGTAAATTCCTATTAAAAATTTTTGAATATTTTTTATTGCACTGCAATAAAACAAACATCTTCCTCCACTGGTTGCTGTGTTCCTGAACCTTCTCCAGGATACATCACTCGTGGTTGCGATCCTGAAGGACCTTCTCCGGGATGCATTCCAAATAATAAAGAAACATTTTGAAGAAAATAAAAATTTAAAAGAATTAAATTGTAAATTTTCATCTCTAAATTAAATAATAAAATTTAAATTTAATTCAGATTTAAGAAGACTTCTACCACATATAATAAGTGTTTTTATAAATATCATTTTCGGATCTGAGTTATATCGAACCCTACTAAAATTTTTATTTTAAAAGTCTTTCCTTCTGCATAATAAAAGAAACAATGAAGAAATGTATTCCGTTAACCAACTTGTTTTAATTTTTGAAAAAATTTCTTGTTTTATTGGATATTTTACTTTTAAAATAAATTTTTAAATTTTCCAGTTAATACTGGACAATTCACTGTTTGTTTTGATAGCTAAAATAAAAACTATTCCAAACATTGGGAAAAGAAAATTATAAGGGCTGTTAGAATGCCTATATTAAGAGTAGATTGATAAATAAAGCAAAACTGCCTGTTTAATTCGCCCTTTAAAGCAATCATGCCTGTTTAATTCGCCCTTTAAAGAAACTTGGCTCTGATCTTTATTTTTAACCCTATAAATCGAACTTTCGAAAAAATCGAATCGAATTTTCGAGCCTTTTTAAATTTTAAAGCAAAAATACACGTGAACTATTCTCTTATAAAATTTTCTTTTTACCCCTAAATAAAGCATTTTTTTATTTAACGACTCTCACGATAAGGGCAGTCTTATAAATTTAAAAGGAATGTCTTAGATGTAAACAAGACTTATTAAATTAAGAAAGACTGCACTTCCTGTCGAGTTTGATGTTTGTAATTGCCAATATTTTCTTTCTTTTGAAAATCCCTTAAAATATTTTGCAAAATATTTTATTTAAATAATTTTTTTAATTTATTTGAAAATTAAAGCCATTCTAGAAAGCCATTCCAGGTGTAGCAAAATATGCTTACTTTTAAGAGTGTTGAATAACTTAAGTCTTTCAACATTAATGTTTTTCCAGGGGCGGTATTCTTTGAAAGGGGTAACGGGTTAACCAACCTCAGCTGCGGGTAAGGTAATCCAGAACCATTATTCCAAATTGCGGGTAAGGATAACCTCGAGCTATGGTTAGTTACTCGGGTAACAGAACATTTGAAAATTAAAGCCCTTACATGCATAACTTAAGTTTTATTTCCTTTTCTTCCAGAAGGATGTGTGGCGACCCGCATCTGCGGGTAATCATCGAGTTCTGGGTAGATTTTTTGGAATAAGACAGAAGACAATGAACTTTCTGGGTTTCCATATAGACAGAAATGTCCCCAAATCTACAACCCAACATAATATCCAGTCACCACACATCCTTCTGGAAGAAAAGGAAATAAAACTTATAACGGTCTCAATTCTCTCATCCTTTCTTCTCACGCCTCCCATATTTTGCTAATTTCTTTTCTTTCACACATCATGGGGTGTAACTTTGAAACCTGTTCCGGAACCGGTTATAAACCGGTTCCAGGCCTCTATCGGTTCCAGTTTCAAACCAGTTCCGAACATTTATCGTTTCCACGGTTCAAATTCCCGAACTCGAACCCCCGCATCACTGATGACAAGTCATGGGGGTGAGTTTCGTAATTGTAATTTTTCGTAATTAATTTTCGTAATCGTAATTACAAATTAGGATTACGAATAACGGCGTTTTTTGAGTTACGAATTACGATTACGAAAACATCGGAAAAAATTACGAATTACGAATATAAAAATTACGAATTGTAAACAAAACTTCTCTTACTTAGTCCTTAGTAAGAGAAGTTTTAGTTCTTAAAGGGATAAATTTATTGTTTCTGTCGATTTTATTTGGTTATACATATTCTGCAATATGTTTTTCTTTTGGTAATTATAAGTTTTTGAAAATATTTTATTAAAAAACTTTTTATAAACTTCTTCCCGAAAACAGCAAAATAATTTATTAGACTAAAGTAAAACGAATAGTAGAGCAAGAAATGCTTCTATTTACATATAAAGGAAGCATTATGAATATTTAGCCTCGGTCCTCGGCGAGATTCTTGAAGGACCAAGAAGCTGGTCTTTCCGAAATCGAGATTCGCGCAACCCTGTTTAAAACTAACGAAAAATGCTTAATAATGTTTCTATGATTTAAAAATAATTTTATTCAGAACACTTAATTCAATAGGTACTAATTAAAGCCCAATTGAAAGAAAAAAGGGGCATTTTGTTTTATGAGAGAATTTTTTAAATAAATTTTAAAATATTTTTTAAGCATTCCTTTTAACAAAAAATTGCTTTTATATAAAACATGGCAATTTTCCACCTTCAAATAAATTTATTTTCCAACTCCTTTCCTTCCACCTTCTCCACATTTTAAACAAAAATTGAAGCATTTCATTATGTTTGATGGGCAATTGCCTTTCAAATATATTTATTCAACGCGGAATGGATTTAATTTTTCGATTCCTACAACTCAGACAATCAAATCCATCAACAAATCTTTCACATTCCCCAAATCCAGAAGGCCCTATCGATGATATTCAAGACGAAATAAGAGCTGAGGGAACTCAAAGGGTTCGTATTGAGGTTCCAAAAGAAGAATTGACAGAGACACTTTTACAAGAATATTTGGAATTGGAAAGAATGGCAAGAAGGTTGGAGAGAAAACAAGTGTTAAGCAATTGGGAAATTAAAAATCACCTTGCGGATGAAGCTATGAGAAAGCTTGTTCATTTGGAGGCTAGGCACAAAGAGTTGAAAAAACAGACGTAAGCAAAAATAAAGATTTAATGTTGATAAGAAATCTTTTCTATAAAACATCAAACCTCATTATAAGATACAAACTTGGGGCTGAAAATAGCATTTCTTATAATGCGGTCTATCTTAAATAGCTTAAAATTGCTGAGATGGTAGCATGAAAATGCTCTCGTCTGTGGCCGTATTATAAAAAACGGTGTAAGGGTTAAGCTACAAGGTTAAGGTTAACCTACCCTCAGCTTCGGGTAGATTAACCTAGAACTCTTATTCCAAAATGCTGGTAAGGGTAACTCTGAGCTGTGGGATAATCCTAAAAGAATGTAATGTCTGAGATAAGATATACCTAGATTATAATTTTAAATATAAAAATTCTAAAAATAAAAGGGAGAAAGCTCGAGCAGATCTTGAACATTTGGAACAACCCTCGATTCGAGCCCACCTTCGACAACAAGGGATTTATCAGAGTAGACATGAAAAGGCGAAGGAATTGGCCGATTCGGTCTGTAGATTTTCGATATTTTTAACAATTTTCTGGTTGTTTAGGCTGTTGTTAAGGAGGAGACCTCGTTAAAAGAGTTAGCAACAATTAAAGCAGAATATTCGCGTGCACAACTTGTTGCCAACCGCTTTCGTGAAAAATGTGAAAAACTTGAAAAAGCACATCATAAACAAGAAGAAATTTATTGTGAGCGGAATTATGCTTACTTAACAATTAAACAATGATTAGGTTCGGTCAATGGTTCTGCAGAATATATGGATCTTATAGCCGTAAGGGAGATGGAATCAGCACAAGAATGGTTGCAGAGGGTGACACTCGCAAAATTTAAGTGGACGAATGGGAGGTATTTTAAAATACTTAATGACTTCCAAATAGACTTTCAATTAAGGATAAGTTTATTAAACCTATCCTTAATAGGGAGGATCGCCTAAGCGAAACCTCAATTAATGGTTTACCTCATTATAAGATATGTAGATTTTCTGAAAGGCTGTATTGGGCGGAGGGCCATTGAGCCTGATAGCCAATGGGCAAAGGGAGGTGCCTAAGCGATACCCCCTATTTAAGGGTTATCTCATTATAAGATAAGATTTTTTTCTGAGAGGATTTTATATTGAGGTCCGGCCTTAAATATTTCATAAGTACTTATAAACTCTTTTTAAGAATTTTTCAATAATTTAAAATTGTATTTTAAAGGGCACTACTTATCCATGCATCAATTCAACTCTCTTATGGCATGTTGTTTTAATACCTTAATCCCTAAAACATCCTACAAAACTTATTCAATAATTTATCAAGGCCTCACTTGCTGGGAAGAACTCCAACAAATTAATGGAGCACGATCTCGTTATTTTACCGCGGTCGAGGCTCGAAATAATTTTGTTAATTCTATAAATAATATTCAATCATGCAGGGTTTATTTGGGTAAATATTGGAAGCTAATTTAAAAAATAAATTTCTTGAAGGCCGTGTTAGATTCCCTTATGTAACGGAAGAAGAAATTCAGTCAATGGAATTGGCTATTCAGAATGCTTTTAATGATTTACAGTCGAATGTGGCTCTTAAAAGGGCAAGGGATTTTTTTAATTTTCAAAAAGAATTGTTTTATAAAGCAGATTAAATTTTCTAGATTAATTAATTTCATTGTTAGATACCCCTAAAATTAATTATACCTCAATTTAAGATAGGATTAAGGGATAATTAATTTCAGTTGACAATTGGGTGGACGAGTTTTCTATATGCTACTTGCATTTTAAGGTGCTTTTCAGCCCTAAGACCTATCTAAAAAATCAGAGCTACTGGATCCCAAATACCTGGTATTTCTGATACATCCCTTATTGCGCTCACAAATCGCAAGCTCTAAATAATTCCAGGCTCCAGCTTTTGGCCGTAGCTTTATCTCAAGCCTAGTCCCTAGCATGCTTTGATATAAAGTCTATTAGCCAATTTAAGGTGTTGACGATATGCCAAGGGATGCAGGATAAACTAAACTCACTCATTTTGTGGTTTGATAAAGTCATCAATCAAACAATAATACGAGACTTAGACAAGGCTAACGCTAATGTAGGCATAAGTTTTTAAGAAATATCAAAAATTGAATTATAAGGTTGAAAAGCTTTGGACACAGACAAGAGAATTGCGACTTGAATTGTTAAGAAAGTTGGTACATGAGAAACTTGGACGCGAAATTGAAGCAAAAGAATTGGATATTGGAGAGGAGGAAGAGGATGATGATGATAATTTTGAAGAGGAGGAGGTTGAAACTGGAGAATTGGAGTTAAATGTAAGGGAGGTGAATCATGATGAAGGTGAAGAAGAAAACTTAAATGGAGAAGTTGGGAATGAAGAAAGAGGTTTGGAGGAAGAAAATGAATTGAGAAGAGGAGAAGATAAATCGGAGAATGACGAAGAAACTGGGGGAAATCAGGTGGAATTGAAGGAAGAAGAGAAATATAGGCGAAATGAGGAGGAAGATGAGGGAAGTGAAGAGGAATCTAAGGAAGATGAGAAATCGAAGAGTGAAGAAGAGGAATTGAGGAATGAGGAGGAGGTTTCGAAGAATAACAACGAAGAATCGAAGGACGAAGGAAAGGAATACAAAATACTTGAGGGTGATAGAAGAGATATTCATAAGAGAAGGGTTATATTCGTACCTAATCATCAAATCGCCAGTCCTTCAACTTCATCAATAACACTTTCCTCTCAAAATTTATACGAGAATGGCCTAAGAAAAAGTAATTTAAAAGAAATAATTAAAATTCATTTTTTAAACATAGTAGAGGATGTTCAACGCAGAATTCGAAAATTTGAACAAATCCGTTACAGAAGGAGGAATGAACCAAATAATGAAATGCTAAGATTGACTAGCTTACAAGTAGGAGATTTTCTAGCTAATTTGTTAAGATCATGAATCTTGGGATGGCTCTAGTATTTATTTATTTTTATTTTAAAATTGAGTGGTCGGTAGATTAATTCCATTATAGATCAACCAACACGATAATTTGTTATTTTAATTTTTTCTATATTTCTCCAGTTATGGACAAAAAGTTTGGCCAAAAAATTATGACAAAAAATTGTTATAGGGTGTACGGAGGGAGACAGAGATCCCCCCAGATCCCCCCCCCCCACTCAGTGGGCTATCAAATTAAAAATATACACTCAAGTGATCGACGCATAGGTCGTCCCAACTGATTTTCACCGTTTAAATCTTCAAAATTATGTTGTTTAAAATTTAAAGGAAAAACTGCGAGTTCGACGTTACCAACTTGAACGACGTCAAAATGAAGCAAAAAAACTTGCTGAACAATTTAGACAGCAATGGAAAATTGCTATTGGTTATTCTTCTTTTTGATTGGATTTTTAATAAATTTTTTTTTAATTTTTTCTCCCAATTTTTTTCTTTTATTTCCATCAATTTAAATTAAATTAGAAGAAAAAACTTTGGACTTTAAAATTTGTTTTTTTTTTAAATTTTATTTATTTTTCTTCAACCCAATTTTAAAGGAAAACACAAAAAACATTTTTTCACATTTTCTACTGTCTAAATTAATTAAAAAAGAAAAAAAAACTTTTATTTGCTTAAAATCGACTTGATAAAAATTTTTTTTATTTTATATTTGTTTTTATACATATTTCAAAATCTATCTTTTTTAAATAATTTTTAATATAACCATTTTCATTGTCAGATTTCAGCTTCTAGGCAAAATCGAGGTCGAGGCGTGAAAATTGTTTAAGACCTCGGCCTAAGCGAGGCCTTGACCTCGACATCCTCTAGTTCGAATACCATATCCTAATATTCAGAAATTTTTCCTAACTGATGTGATGATCCGTTGCTGATGTGCTGATTTTACCCTAGTTATACATTAGGGTGAAAATGAAAATTTTTTTTAAATTTTAAGTGCTAGGAAAGACTTAGAAAATGTTAAAATTTGGCAAAATGCCGTTTGAATGACAAAAGTCTTGTCCGAATCAAAAATTAAATTAAAACAATATGTTTATTTTATTCAACAAATCTGAAAAAACTAAAGTACATAGAAAGGAAAAGCTATTTTTAGATAAATTTTAAAAAATAAATAGGACAGAAATTGTTTAACAATTTTATAATAATTCTTTTACTTGGGTATACCAAAGCATACCACCGAGTTATAACTTGGTTCAAAATTATCGGATCCGGAACGTCCTGGTATGCTTTGCTTCAACTTGTTGAGAAGCATCGGACCATACAATGGCGTCCCGGATCCAATAAATTTGAATGAAGTTATAGCTCTGTGGTATATTGGGCTCGCGGTACGTTGACCTGCTTCCCTACAATTCATTTCTTTTATTACCTCCTCAGCTTTTTTTATGCATCTACCAGCACAATGCAAACCCTTGCAACATGGAAAATTATGAATACCATAACAATATTCGCCTTCTACCATACACGTTACACAAGTTTTTGTTTGTGTGGAACAATATAGTCCATAACAGCAATATCTCATCGCAGAAGCATTGCAACTATAGCCTTGATACTTGATACAATTGTTTCCGGAATCACAAAAGTAATCGCCATATTTATCAGTTATGCAATATAAATCACTACAGCATCTATTGTATATCATGTCACAATTCTTTTCGTTCTCATCAAGACACTTAGTTCTTCCACAATTAATTACTTGAATTAATAAGGATAAATTTGCAAATAAAAAAAGAAAAACGAGAAAATTATTTAATGTCATTATCAATATTTTTTAAATTTTGTTTAAATTGTTGAGAATAAACTGGATATAAATATACCAGGTTAAAAGCCTAGTACAGGCATCTGTGTAAACTTAGAATGAACCACAGTGGTGGGATTGGACTAGGAAGGGGATTGGGAGGGTCGTACGAGAATCGAGATCATTATCTTGCAAATTTCAAAGCCAATAACCAAGCTTTTTGTTCGAGATGAAGTCTAGGTCCGATTTATAGGTAGAACTATAGTTAATTATGTGAACTATAGCAAAGTGAAGACAAGATTGTTATCTCCTAACAAAAGTATGACACTTTTATTAGAGATCTTGGTATGATCTCCATGCCTTTTTATATTTTCACTTTTATGGGAGACATACACTCTAAAATTGAGGGTGTATCTAGTATTGGAGTGCATGTAAGTGATCCTGCCGTCCACGTTTCCTGATCCCCAAGAACTGGGAATTGCCGATGTTTTCCTAGTCGGGATCCCGATTTCCCAAAATCGGGAAACTTGTTTTCTGTCGGAGAAAAGAGAAAAAGAGAAAGGGAAATTAGTGTCCATAAGTCAAGTATCAAAAATTTATCAAAAGCAGGGGGAGCAAAAAAATGAACCAGTGAACTTAAGCAAGGATGGTTCAGAATTATAATTTTCTCAAAAATTCCATAAAAATAAACTTTTTGTAAACAAAAAGTTGTACCATAAGTTCAACTAAAAATGGAAAAAAATAAAATGTTTTTAGTAATTTTAGAAAGTAATTTTTGGTTTTAATAAAAATACAAATATTCTAACAACACTCAATACATACATATAGCCCATTTTAAGATATTTTTAATTTTCTCAAGCGATACCCTCTATTTAAGATTCACCTGATTATAAGATAAAATTTTCAATCCAAAGGAGATGGTATCCTTAAACGGCATTTTATTTCCTTTTTTAAATAGGGTAGTAACCCGACCCTTCGTCGGGAGTTCGGGGATCGGGAGTTTTCGAGGTGACACCTTCGGGGGCGGGTCGGGGCTTTTGCCAAAAAATCGTCGGGGACGGGTTTCTGGGGTCGAGTTGCTACTTTTTTTCAAACAATATTCTAAGACGTCTTTTTTTCCTTAAATTATCAATAAATAAAAGCAACATCACTCTTTATTGCCATTCTCATTTTTTTTATTTTATTTGCTTCCTTTTTCTCATTATAAATCAAAAAACCTTTCAATGCCCTTCAAATTTTTTTTGTTTTTCATTTTTATTTTTTTAAAGTCGTTGAATTTACAAATTCTTTTTTCTTTTATTTTTCCGTCCTCTCAAGCCCTTCGTTTCCGTCTTCTTTTCAATTTAATGCCATTCTTCGTTGTTCTACTGCACACTTATTATTATTACTTATTTTATTTTTGCACAATAAAAATCCTTTATTTTACGTTTGAAAAATGTTTTTAGTACAGTCGGAGTTTTATTATAAGCTACCACAAATATGGGATACACCTCTGTTTAATACACACCCTTATATTTAAGATAAGGTTTTTTTAACTTGGTAGGTTAATAATAAACATAGTGAGGAGGGCTGTCTAGCAGAGGCGGGTCGAAATTCAGATTTCCGAGTTCCGACTTTTGAGCCATTTCCGATTTCCGACAGTTCCGATTTCCAACACCTTCGTCATTTCCGGCCCACATCTGCTGCCTAAGCAATACCTCCAAGTTAACCCCTCTTATTATAAAATACTGATCTCATTTTAGGGTGCCTCTAACACTAGATACACCCCTATTTAAGATACCTATGTACGTTTTTCTAAATTTGTATGGTCATTAGGTAGAGTAAGATGCCAAAGTGTTACCCTAATTTTAAGATACCCTTCAGTGTAAGATATAAAGTCGTGGGCCCGGTCCAGTCCGAAAGATCGAGTCGGGCATCGAATTTTAGCCTAAAAATGCCTCGGTTGGTCCGGCCCGATAAAAATGAGGCCCAAAAAATGACTCGAACTTCGGCCCGACTTGAAAACCCCTACCCTAGTAAGATACAAAATTTTCAACCCTAAATGGTTGTCTTTAAGTGAGGTCAAATTTAGTTTCGTAATAATATTTTTCTCAAAAATATTTATTTAGATTTAGAAATTTTTTAGAGTTTCTAAAAAATTTTACAGGTCTGGAAAAAATTATTTCACAAAAAAACCCGACATTTTTTATTTTATTTTCCCCTTAAAATTCCTCTAAATTTATTAAAAATTTAATTGTTTTAAAACCTTTCTTTATAAAAATTTTTTTTAAATTAAAAAATAATCTTTAAATCTTTTGCTATTAAAAAAGGGGGAAATAAGGAAGTGAAATAAAAAAGATTTGTGTGTTTTATTTTTAAAATTCCAAAAAAAAATTTTTTTATCCCCAAAACGCTCATTTTCTTTTTTCTATTTTACTAGACAATACTTTTAGATAAAAAATTCTTTGTTCTCTAATATTATTTTTTAGTTTTTCCTGCCATTATTTCCATTTTTCAATTAAATTCTCAATTGTCCTTTAAACTTGATTTAGCTATTCCAAAGAATTTCAATAATTTCAGCATTATTTCATGTTAGTTTTCTGGTTTAATTTCACGTATTTCCTTAGGGTATTACGAAAAATTTTGTTTCGTTCAGGTCTTACTGACCCTTCTGCCACTTTCTATAAAGTAAACATTCGGACCAATTTCCCCAAACAAGTTACGGAAAAATTTCCATAAAAAATTTTACGCTAAAATTTTTAAAGCTTTTGGTACAGCGCGTTTTTAAACACTTGGAGGAGTTGAAATTTTGCGAACGGTGAATTTTTTGGAAAAAGATTCAATAATTGAACCATTGTTTGGCTACAAAATGAGTATAAAAATATTAAAAAATGTAAAGGAGAAAAAGTTACGGCAAAATAACTTTTATGTTACCCTGTAGTTGCCCGGCCTTTTCTGTTTTGAAACTTAAATAATCGGGAATAGAAATCAGAATTCGAAAAATTTCGCAAAAACATCGAAATTTTGAACCTATCGGAATCATTAAGAGAATTATTGTTATAGTTTCGGGGTATTATTTTAATAAATTTATTTTCCGAACATTTTATTAATTCTTATGATTGTTTTTTTCAATCTTTATCCTTCCTTTAAGTATCTTACTATTTTTATTTTTAGAAACAAACATTAATAATTTTTATATTAAATGTTTATCTAGCATGTTTAAGTACTCTCTTCATTTTTAATAAAAATTTTTTTTTTATATTTTTATTTCTAAATACATACATACAATATTTGTGAAAAAATTTATTTTGTTTGTCTCAAAAGTTATACATTAAATTATGGTGTACCCCGAACGTTCGGGGTACACCATTAAATAGATTTTAAAAAGCGAAGCTAAAAGGTGGAAGTCGAAAAAAGGTGAAAATCCGTGAAAGTGGAAACTTGAAACTGACGGAGTATACATTTCTCACAAAAATCCTTCAATTTTTTTTTAAATTATTGACTCAAAAATCACCATATTTTTTAAATAATAATTCGTAATTATTACGTAGCTTGCTTAAATCAATCCTCTTTTAAATAATTTTAATTCGGCATTATTTTTATTAGATTTCTTCGTTCGTATTTTTTCATCAAAAAATCTTCATAAAGTCTTCATAAAATTTTTTAAAAATTAATAAAAATATTTTTACTTATTATTTTCAAAAAAAATTTCTTCAAAAATTTTTCCTATTATCTTCAAAAAAAATTTAAAAAAAATTTTTTTTTTGCAAAATTTATTTTATTTTTTTTCAATTTTTTCAATTTTTTCTTCTTTTATTTTTTTCCAAAAAATATTTCCTTATTTTTAAATTGCATTTTTATTGAAAAAAAAATATTTTTTTTCAATTTTATTTTTCTAATTTTCATTTACTTATACTTGTGTTTTTGTTAATTTTTAATTTTTCTTTTTTTATTGAGTCTAATGACGCTACTTAAAAAATAAACATTGTTGACGTTATTTAAATTTTTTTAAAAATATTTTCTTTTCTAATTTCCGCTTAAATATTTTTTTGGATTTTTTTTGGATTTTTTTTGACTTAAAAATGCATAAAAAATAAAAAATATTTTTGAAAATAATTTTGAGAAATTTTTAGAAGATTTTTTTAGAAGATTTTTTTAATTTTTTATGCATTTTTAATTTAAATAAATATTTATTTTTAAATTAAAAAATATTTTTTTTGACTTTAAAAAAATTTATTTTAAAATTAACCCCCTTTTTAATAATCTTTTAAGCCTTTTTAAAGAAAAATATAAATATTTTTTAAAATTATTTTCAAATGAAAATTAGTTTTAGTGACTTTTTAAATAATTTAGAGAGATGTTATATTATCATGATAAATATATATGGCTAAATATACATAGGTATATATGTAGATAAGCTTCATATATGCTTTAAATAAAAAATATTTTTATTTAAATAGTTTTTAAAGGAGCAAACGTTGCGTTTTCGTTTTTTTGTGCCCCGAAAAACTAAGAAAACTTACCTGCTATAGCATTATAGTCTACGTAAGTCACAATCGGTGTTTTGAAATTTATTGGTACTCGTATTTTTGTACAGGCTCTATTTTTTCTTAGTAATCGTCGTACGATTACGAATTTTGGTACGAGCTTCCTAACAGATTTGACAATCCTTTCTTCTTTAGATTTTTACAATTTTTTAAAATTAGTATTTATATAATTTTCGAATTTTAACGATAATTTAAAAATAATACTTTTAATTTTTCCAAAATTATTAGACTTTCTCTTTTCCTAATTTTTTATTTTAAAATAAATTTTAATTAAAAATTCTTTTATCCTTCGAACATTTTCTCTATAAATATTTATTTTTTAGAAGCCATTAAAATTTATTTTATATTCACAAAAAATAAACAAAAAAATTAAAAGGGATTTAGAGACCAATTTTACTTTAGAAAAACTAAACAGACATTCCCCTTCCCTCCCCTTTTTTCAATATCCATCACACTAATCTTTAAATACAAAATAAGCCCAATAATTGATGCTCGTTAATTTATTTTTTTTATAAAATGTTGGCATTTTTTTATTTTTTTTTCTCAATTTTTTTCTCGGCTTCCTGTCAATGTCATCTTCCCTTTTTGCTCCTTTCCTTTACTTCTTCCCTATTTTTTTATTGTTAACCTTTACACATTCTTTTCTCGTTTTTCGAATTTTATTTTTGTAAATGCACTTAATTTGCGGATTTTTTTTTTAAATTTAATTTTTAAAAATATTTTTCCTTATTTTTTTGATATTATTTTATACCTAGGCCTATAAGTTCAAAGCTAAGTGGGTGCACCCTAACTACCGTGAGCCTAGCTTACCGCAGAGCTATAACTTCGTTAAAATTGGTCGAATCCGGGACGACCTAGTATGTTCGATTCAGCTTGTCGAGACGCATCGAACCATATCAAGGGGTCTTGGAAACAATTCTGAACGAAGTTATAGCTATGCGGTAAGTTGGGCTCGCAGGGGCTCGCAATAGACCTCACTTTAACGTCAAAATTTTGTTCGTAAAGGGTATTTAGTAGGACTAAGTCAGACTCCATCCTTTCTATTGTATCCAGGAATGTCTTGCGATGTATGAAACCCGGTCTTTTCCAACCCGATCTGAAAAAATTTTTGAAAATCCAATCCGAAACCCTTCTCGATTTTTTTCAACCCCATACATCACTGATTGTACCAATGTTGGGCCGAGTCCCACAAAATACGAGACACGAGATTCACGAGATACGAGATTCTCAAAAAAATACGAGACGAGATTTCACGAGATACAAGACTAAGCCCACACCTGTATTGTACCCAAGAATTTTTTTCTAAAATTTATTTGGGACGCTCTTAAACCTTAAAATTATTTTTTAAAAGGCCTTGCAAAAATAAAAACTTTTTTTATTTAAAAAAGGTTGTCTTAAGCCTGCCTAATTAAAAAAATTTATTTTTCTGTCCTTAAATCTTCCAATAATTTATTTTATACAAATTTATTTATTCCATTCTTGTAAAAAGACATTTAACTAAGATACGCGCGCCAACAAAAAAGAGAGAAAGAGCAAAGTCGTTAACGACTGTTTTACGCATTTCCGGTGACAAAAATATTTGTTGAAAGGCATGGAGGCTTCTTCTCTTTTTTTTTGTTGTTTTGTTGGCTACCACGCCATGACAAAAAAAATTTTTTTTGCGTTTTTCCGACTTTTTATTTCCGTCTAAACTTGGAATTTTGATCATTTGTTTCTATTGTTTTATTTTCTTAGACTTGAAAAAATTTTTTAACTTCAAGTTTGCTCACTAACATTTAAATTTTAACAGTTACAAGCTACCAGGCGTATAACGATTTTTTTTGGAAATAAATATTAGTCAACAGAGATCGGTCAGACGGCAATCAAATATTTGATTTTTCAGACCTCCATCAAACAAATATTTGATCAAATATTTGATTTTCCGTCGTAAAATATTTGTTTAGTCCGGTCTCTACTAGTAAACATGACACTCAATATTTAAGACCCGACTTTGAGTGTCGTACGAGAATCGGAGAATTGGTATTGATAGCTCGAAAAATCTCTATCTTGATAACTGAGATTTTTGGCCGAGATCGAGTCTCGTCCGGTCTCTACTCAAAAGCATGCATATCTTGTAATAATAATGTATATCCTGTAATAACTGCCCTGGGTAATTATTGTTTCGACCTTCCGCTGGAGGGAGTTATACGAGGTTTAAAATTTGAACGT